GAGTTACACTGCAGGAAGCAGCTAAGTAATGCTGCATACTGTGCTAGATGAGAGCATGTTTTATTATTCACTAATTCATAAATAGCAAGCATTGCAATGAAACAACTGACCCCAAATTCCACAACTGGCAGCTGCTACCTGGTATGTTGATGATGGATCTCAACCACACAGGAAGGACTGGACAAAAAGAAAAAAAAAAAAATTAATCAGTATAGATAGACCAGAATGGCYCAAATGACTAAACAGTGAATGCTCCATAGGGTGATCAGGTAAAGAGAAAGAACAGAGTTGAGTGAAAGCAAAAGGAAAAAAAAACCACTGAAGTAAAAGGTAAACTAAAAGAACAGAAAAAGACAAGTTCGGAAGGAGAACACAGTGAAACAATGTGAGAAAAAAAAAAAAGCAAATCACCACCTGTAGCTTTCCAAGTTATTATCAAATTAGCAAGTATGGTTTCAGTGGAGTTTAAAAGAGCCATTTTAGAGGCAACAGACYTTGCTGCAGCTAGTTACAAGTTTCTTGGCAATCATCTAACTACAGGTTTAGATTTATTTCTTAGACTAGCATATATTTAAACAAAAGATTTAACCTCTTTCAATATCACTTACTGATACAGAAAACATGCTGTAATTTTTTTATTTTTCAGATGGAGTATCAGACAATAAGACACAATACTAGTGTAAAGTAACTAAACTTTTCTCCAAATGATTACACCAGAATTCTTTTGAAAGACACAATTTACGTAAATTCACTTGCACGTGTATCTACACAAACATTTATAAACACACATTTTGCGTATGATAAACACAGAACATAAAATCTTCCCTTATTACACTWAATTGCAAAGAAAAACACAGTGTGCTAAGTTTAGTTAAATTTACAGAGCACTCACGAGCCAAAGGCCACCATGCACCATTATGATCTGAATGCAAATATCCATGAACTATACCACACTTCATTATCTGGTACTGTTGATGCTAGCAAAAAACATTGTTTGACACAAATTATGGGAACAGCAGTAACTGTGACAGACTAGAAACATGCCTACCCCCAACAGGTACACTGTGGCTCAAAAGGACAGACAAGAAAAAAAAGCCAAAAGCATGAAAAAACCAAACCCTACCCATGCACTCCCCTCCACGTGCCAGAACCCTTTAATGCTTTGCTCACTCTCTGTAGACTGCAACTGTGATGCTCAGCTCTTCTGGTCTCCCTCACACACACACAAAATATACAACAAATATTTACCAGGCCAATGCCCCAGAACGCAAGAAAACCACCCAGGAACATCAAAATTTAATTGAGAAGTACTTCTCCTGGGTCTGAAATCAAAGAACATAGATCTCAATCYTCCCTCAAGTTTCCGCTGTTACTACAGACCACATAACTTTTACTACCAGACACTATCTCACATATATCCTCTGGAAGCATCCAAAGATTAGAAGGTCCTATACCATTAGAAAATGATAGAGGATCTGAAACATCCAGTAGAGATGAAAAATCCTCTCACTTCCTACCAAAAAAAGTGTCACCTGGCAACCCTTGAGAATGAATATTAACCTTATCCATGTGTATAGATGTGAATACACAAAGTCACTTCCACATGCTCATCAACAGAACAGGATACTAATTGTTAAAATAATTTAGCTTAAAATGAATATAAAAGRGTCATCAGCAAACACATGAGCACAGGGAGGGGATTAGCATTTTGGATTCAAWCATGATATTAAATACCAAATTTGGATCTCAAAATAATTTACAGTTGGAAGTTGGGGAATGTCTTCTACTTTTCATTTAGCACTATTAAAAGCTTTGTATTAAAAACCAGCATTTTGTTGATGCAACTTACTGGCTACTACTGGTTCTACTAAAGGTAGAACAGAGAGAATGATGTGCTTTGAGCTGCATTTGAAAGCTGTAAGAATCCTACAATGGTCAAAAATATGTGGATACTGGCTGTAGCACCCTACTCTCATTACATGACTTAGAGCTCCGAGCATAATGCACAGGAATTGTACTGTGTGGGAATACACAATGCACTAGAGGCAAATAGCAGATCACCCTCAAGGTACAGTCATTACTTCAGGCATCTGCTTTCTATTACACAGCCACTACTTGGCAGTTTTCAAGCAGCAAATCTATTTGTTGGGGCATTTTAAGAAGATTGCAGCCASCAGGCAGTGGTCTTGTGCAGCTGGGGAGCAGGTGGTAATGACCCTTGCCTAACACACAGCAGTCAGCTGACAACATTTGCCTTTTTCAATCATTGCTGAGAGCTCAGCCACACTGACAGACACAATGCAAGCTAATCATATTAGTTATCTGTGGAACATGTTCAAGCTCCAAGTGGGTAAGAGAAGATAACTTGAAAATTTTCAAGGGAGAGTTGTATTTTAGAACTACTAATTACTAGTAAATGAWGCTAAATAAAGAAATAAAAACTAAAACCCCAAGACTATTTAGCACCAAGCTATAAAAAATAACATTGTAACAATTCAATAAGCTTTTGTAAGGGTTTAACTATCTGTGAATCCACTTGCGATCTGAACAGAGCAGGGTTTCAATTCTAGATAACAAGATTTCTGAGAAAACTAGAAAATATGAGCAAGAAATACAGGGCAGTTTATTCCACTGCAATAGTGATGTTACAGCCCCCTCTGCTGGAACTATCTATTACATATCCTTACACAATAGTCTGGAAAAATGCATGGAGAAGAGAGCTTATTGCTTTTATTCGCTCATGTTTAGTCTTCCACTTGCAACTGAGTCAGCACCTTTCACAGAAAATAAGTGCTGTAATATCATCAAGTATAATTACTGACAACTTTAGATCTCTGTCATCAGGTAATTCAGTTTTGACATGTCATMTATACTGTGAACAGCCTTATTAATTTAGGCAAGAAAATTTTAAACTGAGAACCAAAAAAATCCAGTAAGTTGCATCAGGTGACATGGAATAACATCAAATGGCTTTCTAAATCAGAACTGCACAGAAAAACATCTAGAGGAGACCAACTGTGACAGTTTTTCATTATCCATKTTTCAAACTCCCAGCTCTCCACAACAGGAGATTTCTAAGGCTGAAGTAATGAATCCAACATGAAGACCCAGAGAAAGAGAAGGATTTGTAACCATCATGTCAAAGAACTGAATGAAGTTCACCATTTCCTCTCAAAATACTTTTTATTTGCAGTTTACTCTCTAGCTCTGGCTTAAAGTAACTAGTCATGTTTTGACTTTTTASTTTCCCCAAATAGATCCAAAATAAATAACATTTGTCCCTCTGTAACAAAAATTCTAGTGAAGAAAAATCTCAGTTTTTCTCCAACACTTCCCATTTTCCTTATTTATTAATTCATTAAGAAAAGACCTTTTMATCCATTTCCCTCTTCTCTTACTGGAACTGCTTCAAGAAAGAAGACAGCAATACTRCCATGCTTGCTTTAACTATCTTGGTTTGATACTCACAGCTGCAGGCATGGCTATGTGACTCTGGACATAAGGCTGGTGRTGTAGAGTCTGAACTCCATGATCAGAATACAGCTGTTATAAAAAGAAAAAATACAAAAAATTAGCACAAAAGCTTGTTTCACAATATTAGGTTTTTAAGCATTTCACCTTAATTTAGAATCMTTACAATTTCAAACTGTGGGCTATGCTTATCTGAACTACTGACTTTTCAAAAACCACAATTTTAATATTTAAATCTATGTTTTCCCCATGGATTAGTAMAGTTTAGTAAACTTAATTTATCTTGAGCAGTGTCACAAATCTCTTGCTTGGACAGAAGTAGCAGCTTCTCTACTACAAATCCATTTTACACAGCTCTAATGSGAGTGTAGATTTAATATGTAGATTAGCACATTGAAATCTAATTCCCAGCATTACCACACTTAAAAAAACATTTGCATACAAGTAATACAGACTATTCTTGGAATTTTACATTATTCTTCCAAAATTTGACCCACTGCTTCCTGTAACATGAGCAAATTGCCTACCTGTAAAATAAGAGCACATTGTATCCAAGTATTCTTTAATWTCATCTATTTTCTTAGTGCTCACAGAATTCAGATCACCGTACAAGTTTGTATCTGATTAATTAAAYACTAAAGGTAAAAAAGTACTGATGATAAGATTATAAAACACCAAGATTTATGCACTTTCAAAAAGAAAGAAAAACCCCAAWAACTCAAGCCTTGTATAACTCAGTATCTTTGTAGGGAAATTAAATTACATCAGTATATCACAATTTTCCACTTCATAWGGCTAAAATGCAAGTTTTGGAACCTCTCTTGCAGCAATAAAATGCCCATTGGCTTTTGAAATGATGCTWGATTACTAGTACTAGTAATTAGACATCCTAATTTAACTAGGACTTAATTTAACTAGGATTTACCTAGTTTGGCCTACTTGTATATGAAGAATGAATATTTGAGAAGAATCAATACAGAATYGAAAATGTGTTGTGATTAGATTTTTCTGTAGCCATTAACCGTCATCTTTAATATCCTATTATGAAAAGACTGGTTGCATGTTTGAACTTTTTTTTTGTTCCAGTTTTTTTGCTTCTGTATTAGTAACATTTCTAATGCTTCTTAAGTGATTTTTAATGTACAATAAAACACTGTTGTTTCTAAATATTGTGATGATCTGGACGAATTAAGCTTCTACTCACAGAAGAATTACTACAGGAAGCTACTGTGGTTTAGGATATTAACCCAACATTCCAAAGAATCGACTCCCATTTTACTCAAACATTACTTACAAACAAAACCAATTGACAAGCCTTTATATTGCTCTCTGTAATACATTTGTGAATCTCTAAAKTATTTCACAAAGTACTCCCACAGAAACGAGAGAAATCCTAACTCAAGGACACCTGAAATTATTCAACAGCAGCATAAGTACTGAAACAGTTGACTTAACTTCTCTAACAGCCAGTGCTTCAAATAAAAGATTATATTTTTCACTTGCAAATAAGCACTTCAATTTTCAGTACACTTTTAAACATTTTTAAAAATACCTCAGGAACTGCAGCTTCCATTAGGTGAGGTGGAGATATACATCCACCTTCCTGGTTAATTCCTATWGGCTGATAAAAGACTTCAGATGGTTGCAGATACAAGAGTGGAGGTGAAGAGGTAGGAGACTGAAATAAAACACATTATTCTAATAAATAAATTTTATTATTTAAGCAGGCTAAAGAAAAAGCTTATTTTACAGTCTCTGCTACACATAAACATGAAGCTTTAAAAGAAATTGTCAAAATAATCTTTGRTAACCTAAAGAAACTAAGCAAGAGCAAAGTCACTAGAAAGGTCAGGATACAGAAAGGATAGAAAGGTCAGGGAGTAGCTGGAGGAGGGCATTGTGAAATCCTAAAGCTTGTAATAAAAAGAAAAAATACAAATAATTTAAGTTAAGAACACAGTAACATACTACAGTTAAATCTTCCCCTGCAAAAATGTTAAAACAAGTTTCTTTTTTAAAAAAAATAATTMCARTATCTCCATAATTCAGCATCCTAATTTCAAAGCAGCAGATTGAGCTATTGGAGTGTAACAAGCCATAATTGCAGAAGGCTGGCTGCTGCTAAACTGATGAGGCTGCATTGTAAGAGTTCAACTTAAGGAACCTGGTCCTCCTTTCAGGCTTGAACTCTTAAAAGTTCCTCAAGTGTCAAGATTTCCACATTAACTGCTCTATTACAAAAGAGATAAAACTCTCCCCCCAAAATGACTAAGTTAACTGTTTCAAGCTCTTCTTCCTATTTCAGGAACCTGAATAATTTCTAATTTCACCCTATGTGTGTGTCCACATGCTTCTGCTAATAATACTCCTATGAAACATCACAGTTAATATCAGTTAATGAGATAGTTACTACACATTTCTTTAACCAGGCAAAATTTGGCAATTTTTACCTGCCTCCAAGAATTTATCAGGTAATCTGATACAAATTCTTTAYTAAATTGAAGGGGAAAATGCTTTCTTYACATCAGMTTTMTATTTRATGTTTCAATAAATAYATTTTATACCTTCTGTTGTAGCAGYAAATGTAGTAAATAMATWACTAAAATATAACAATTAATMCTCGTTTTGACCAAGTTGTGAATAGTGGGAAATGTCATTCTGAGAAAAGCACACCAGATCTTCAAACCAGGTGAAAAGTTATGGTAAATTATTGCAACTGAACTGTATTTACCTGTGGAACAGACCACTGCCACTGACTTGAAAGACACTGTGTTGGTGCCTAAAATTGAACAAAAAGATGTTATGAATGTAATGAAGAACAAAYGAATACACAGAGAACACTATTATTTTCAAATCTCTAAGTAATTCTTAACTAGAAAGAGGAAATATTACTCTCCTTAAGGTCCAAACTATTCAGGAACATGTTTTTATTTATTTCCACTAAGACTTCAACTTGGCTATTTCATGAACTTCAAAAATACTAAAGTCAGATTCTCAACAGTGGTGCTCAGTGCACGAGAATCAATGGACCCAAGCTGGAACCCCAAAAGGAAAAAAGTCTTTTACCATGAGAAGGGGCAAGTCTTGGAAGATGCTGTACAGCAAAGCTGGGTGGAATCTCTACTACTGGAGCTACCTAAAACCCAGCTGGACAAGAACCCTGATCTAACCAGCCCTACCTGGAGCAGGAGTTTGGCTTAGATCGTAAAAGGATGATACTAAACCAGTTGTCTTGCAACACAAAAGAAAATGTAATTTGTTATACTTTGATGTAGCTACCTAAGCAAAATAGACTCTCTGCCCTAGAATACAGTTTTTCATGAAGTTAAAATATGTTTTACACTACTATTCTGAACAGTCTTTTTATTTCCTAAGAATGAACAGATGTAGGACAGTGCTGCAAACAGTATTGCATGGCTGGAGGAGTAGTGATGGTCTGAAAATAATTTCCAAACAGATACCTGATAATGGTACGTAGGAGACTGATASACAGGTGGAGCAACCATCACAGGTGAACTGGAAACAGAGCGAGACTTCCAAAGAAAAGCAGTTACAAATCTTAATGCAGTCATTTCAAAAATTGTCACTCCTATTAAACACAGCTCTGGGGTACTATAATGCTGAACCAACCTTCCCTCCCTTTTGAAAATGATTCACCAAGTTTTAACCTACACCTAAGCTTCTTCAAACCCACTGTCTCTAAGGGCYCGTGTTAGATCAAACAAAACTCTCTGGCATATCAACTTAGACATTTCCAGAAAGCACTAGGCCAGCACTACCTAGAGACTTAGGCCTGGCGTAAGGCCCCAACTAATTGTGAACTCTCCTATCCAAGAGGTCACACCAAAGCAAAAGTAACCTGCAAAAGCAAAATAAACTGAAGTGATATTTAACAACCGCAAAATAAACAGCCTAATATAAGGAAGCCATTTAAACATCTAGCATGTGGCATAGCTGAAGAAACTGGAAGCAGGAGGGACTTGAAAACATTGCAGTTATCCTGGTCTACAGAAAAGCACATATACCAAAAWTAATTCCTTACTGGCCATGGCTGCTGAACAGGAGAAACTTCAGAYGTATGAAAGTAAGCCACTCCATTATGGTAAACATATGGATATCCACTCGAAGTGGTTAAGTACATTGTACCAGCTTCTGGTGATACAGCAGTGGTTGCATACATTGTACCAGCTTGTGGTGTTACAGCAGAGCCTGGAATAAATATTTTAAAACTTATTCACAAATATCTCTTTTCTAGATGTGCACATTATGAAAAAAAAAAAGAACAAGGAAGATAATTTCTCATCCTCACAGAAAAAAAAACCCCAAAACATTCAAAAGGGAAGAACATGGTTCAGTGTGTCCAGTATCACCTCAATTCCCTCTCGAACACAATCATGAAAGCAGATGGCCACAGGATGTCTCCAGAGCTAGATGGAAAGAGCTGCAGAAGAAGACATCCGTATAAATTACTGAACACAAGACATAACATGGGGAGACCTCTCTAGAGAAATTTAAACAAGGGAAAATTAATTCTGTAAAACTGAAATCGAATTCACAAAATAGTAACATAGTACAGAAAAAAAATCAGAAAGAACACAATACAAACAATATCACTAAGCAAGTTTTAGTTTTAYATCTTGGAAAGCTAAGAGCCACCATGAAGTGCCATTTTATAATCCAACAGAAYACTGCAGAGATCACCAGCACAGTAAGTGGAAGACCAAGAAGGGTGACACAAGGACTCGAGCTTTTATTGATGGTAAGTTTGACTAATTCCTAGAAAAGCTTTAAGACACTTGGATACAATACAGCTGAAATATTAGCCATAGACACGGCAAGCTAAGATGTTTGTAAGGATAATGGTAAGTACACCTTAGGAAAACTAAAGGCTGTTTTAGCTCCAATAAGCAATCTAGAATAGCACTTATTGAGGAGGTCAGCAGGAAGGATCCCGTAGCCAACAACCCCATCCACTCCATTAACTACCAAGTACATTACACAAACATTCTTGCCAGTGTTGAATAAGTCTGGCAAAGCAAAAGGAAATGTTTTCCATCAAACRCATAAAACTCCCTGTGATGAAAAAATACATTTAGATGGTGGGGAAAAGCAAACCAGGTGGCCCTCCCAGTATGTTCAAAGCTCTTACCACAAACGGTCCTATGCTGGCTGAAGAGCTAAAAATCATTTTCCTTCAGAGTATGAAAGACAAGCACTATATATGTGGGYTACATAGGACAGCAGTATATGGKTTAGCTGTTTAATTCTGCTAAATAYAATGCCTCACAYACAGGGCAACACAACTGAGAAAGTACAAGTCAAAGATGGAAAATGAAACAAAGCTCAGCAAGAAACTGGCATATAATCTTGTGACGATGATTGAGCAAAGATCATACTGAGTAATTTCCAGAGGAAGGAAGCTATAAAGTTGGAACAAGTATTACATTTCCCCTGGGGTAAATAATGGCCCATATACTTATGCAAGGGAAAGGGGCATAACTAGGCATATGGCAGGGAAAGAGACAAATTTCCTGTCTTCAGCTTGTACCACCAGCATTAATATACACATGAACTACTTCTAACAGACATTAGGACAGAAACTAAAGAAAACTTCAGAATTAAACCACCATTCTTCTGTATTCTGTCCTCAGACTGAAGATGAGCAAAGGATGGGTTTTTCCTAACTCCTCCAAAAGRTGCCAYAGGACAAATACTGAAGCAAAGTTATAAGTACACTTAACTAACTGCTGCATTTAAAAAGGAAATCTATTTTACATCTCTGACACATAGCTCTAACTAACTCACAGATCTCATCTTAAAAGCTGGTGATTCACAGTGTACATTTTTACTATCCATTCAGTATCTTTGAACAAAGAGCTCAAGAATAGAGTGGTGACTACAACAAACCACTCCTTATGGGTTTCTACCACAGAAGGCAAGATGCAACAATCCTGAAGTGATACAGATTTTGGTAACATAAATCAATCAATGAATAACAAAGCAACTAACCAGCACAGCTCGCTTTATTCTGTAGTACCTGTGAGGACACTCAAGATGTTTTGATTTTATGTTCTGCTAGGCAGCTTGCATTTCCATTCAGTTTGTTCCTAGATAAGTTACTCTCTCCACAAAAGTAAAAGAAACAAAACAATGAGAGCTAAAGAGACCATAAATCTATTTATCTGGACACTTCCAGTAGCATGCATTTTCTTCCACTGCAAACCATTCTGAGCACATTCCACACACAGCATTAGTGTAGTGCAAGACCAGGTACACCTTGGTTAAAAACTTATATTCATAACCACAACATGCAAACACAAGTAAAAATACATACGAGCATTAGGACTCCGCACTTGTTTTCTTATTGCTGGGCCGATATTCAATTTCTTATCTTTATAGTTGAGTTTTTTAGCCTGGAATTAAAAAAAGAAGACATCATTTTCTACACAGATATAGGTGCTGAAGAACTGAAAAATCCCAAGCAGACAAGGTACTTAATAGGTTAGACACATTGAGCATTTGGGCAGACACACTGAAACCTGAYCCTAGGATATGCATCAGGAATCTGGTGAAACTCCTCAAGGTCTGTTTTAAATACTAACACGTATTTAGAAGACTGCAACATRAAAGAAAATTCTGGAGACATTACTAAGAAGAGTAGGATAAAAAAATCCAAACAATCAGTGCAAAATATGATCAGAGTTTGATATAAAAAGAAATTCAAAAGTACAAAACAAAAAAAAACTTCATCCATAAATTAAAGCCTACAAACTCAGGTTAAGATGGAGAAAGACCTAKATGCTACATGATCTTAAGACAAATATGAAATAGTAGAAATCTGCAAAGATGAAAAAGTTGATAGAATTGTAGGAGATGTAAATTATGGAAATGACAGTAGGCAAAGTAAAACATCAGCAAGACTTCACATGGAACAGCCTTTCARTTACAAAAGGAGCAAAAAGACTAAGCCACTTTCAAAATGTTACTCAGTACTATTGGTGTTCAGTTTACAGAAATAAAAGTATTAMAAAAAACCAAAAAAACAAAAGGCAAGAAAGACAGCTGTCTCAAGAAGTTCCTCCCTATATGCTTTTTTAGTTCCACCAATTTCAAACAAAGGTTTGGAAYTGCCAACATTTTAACCAGCCTTCTAATTATGAGAAGGCAATTKGCATGTCTCAGACACCATCTTCTTGAGGTTTTTTCCCCCTGTATGTGGATATCCTCACATGAGAGAGTAAATCCTGACTCCTGAATGTCTCCAATGTATTCCAACCAAAACACAAGAGCACTCATTTCACAAAACAAAATAAACGAAAGTGCTGACCTTGCCTCAAGGAAGGCTCCACAAGGAGCATCAAGACAGTAAAGAGAAGCTAAGAGAAGGAAAAATTATATGACATGAGCTTCATCACTGAAGACCTCAAGGGAACCCAACTGTTACTAAAAAGAATTACATCAGGGCTGACAGAGAAACATGTCAGAATAAAAAACAGCAGTTATCTTCATACTTTCCATACAAAAATCTTGACAGCAGTGGAATATGAAGGATAAAACTTTTATAACTCTATGTGTACTGTACACCATTTATAGACTAAGGAAATAAAGACCAATGTCAAAGTCAAAAACAGTACTATGAACTAGAATTTCCTTCCTTAGTTCCAGAATATCTCAGTATAAATCTTAACTTAAATCTCTTTAAACCATTTTATTAACTATCAGACCAAACTTATCTTTAAATACAACTTGGCAAACAGAGGACCAGACTACTCATGCCTAGTATGAAAAGAGTTATTTCATTAAATTGAGAAACACAATGGGGATTATCACTTACATCTTGCAAAATCTTCTGGGCCTCTTCTTGGGTTTCAAACGTAACAAAGCCATACCTAAACAAAAATTACAGAAGCTAAGCCTCTAAAGTTGGTATTGACAAACACAGCACATTGTTACTTGATGTACAGTACAGTGACATTCCAAGGCAAACTGATGGGTAAGAACAACCATAGAATGGTTATGCAAATTGGAGACATTTATACAGAGATACCAAAAGGGCAAGAACAGATTCTTGCATACACAGAGTAACTAGACCACCAATGATAAAATATTATGAGCTATGAAAAATCAAACCAAATTTACTAGAGTCAGTCAGTTTTCTGTTATTCTCAATTTCCACAATGCACTTATTCTACTATACCAACCCCTTTGAYACTCCAGCTCTGTCATTTATTATCTTCACTTCTGTCACACTGCCATACTGAGCAAAGAACTTCTTCAGGTCATTTTCATTAGTCTAGTACAGTAAATCAAGAGGGGAAAAAAAAAGAAAAGTTGGTTTGCATAGTTATTCAATTAATTAATTCAATGTTTACTGTAACATTATTAATAGACATACTTTGGATGAARTTTGCTACAAACTAATTATAACCCTGCATATGAAGACAGAAGAATGAGCAACTGTGAGCMTCAAGGCCCCTTTAATTACTGCATTAATCATTCAGCAAAAGTTCTAGAAAGCCATTAAAACTTCTCTGTAGTAGATTTATGTAACAACTGCCCTTTTACCATTAAGATCACTGAATGAGGTGTACTGATCCGAATTTTAGTTTTTGTCCATTACGTGCTAAAGCAGGTTACAGTATGAAAAAAATCACTACCATACTTTAAACTTCAAAAGCAGAGTACGTAGGCTTTCATAAAAGATATATATATAGGCCACTTAAATAAAAGAAAAATCCTACTAAACCACAGTGATTTAGTAGTCAAATCCATTGAATTCACCTTGAGCTCTCTTTCTGAAGTAGTTTTAACATGAGAATCTGCATATATGTACAGGCACACCATAGGAACTGCCCATTGTAGTTAAGTGAGACAACTCTCCATTGAAATAACCTTTTCTAAATCCTCTAGGAAGGAACTGCCCCCTTTTGAGTATGCAGGGAGTAAAACAAGTTTCTAATGGAAAGGCACACCTAAGCTATGTGAACACTCCTCCGCTCTCTATGAATCTTTTTTTACAATGTAAGGGTRTATCACATATGATGCTCCAAACACCACATGTGAAATTTAAATTTTGTTAGATGCATGCATCCTTCATCTGTACTTTTCTCTTAAAGTATCCCACAAGTACTGTTCTACTTTTGGTGAATGACCTTGATTGGATGTGTACAATTTTCAGGACTTGCCTTTCCCGGCTTGTAAGACAAAGACACTTGTCAGATTCTTAAGGAAGGTAAAGGCTTAGCATTAGCCTATGTCAATGACCTGCATCACTACAGAAAGAGCTCTTCAGATMAAGATGAAAATATTCAACTGTAGTTTCTCCCACTGGATTGTTTCTCTAAATTTAAGAGAACAGATGTTTCCTCTTACAAACAGGAATCACTGCCATGTTGATAGACAAAACAGCAAAATCATGAAAGAGCTTGCTAGAAAGCAAATAAATCTTGGTTGATYAAGTGACTCCCTTTTTCACAAAAATAAAGTCAATAGTTTCTGCATTGCCCCAGCTAACTTGAATAAGACCTCTGGTGTAAAAAAAAAAATCCCCCAAACTCAAATACTTTTTGCCATGAGACTTCCAATGGAAAGGAATACAAGACTGACAGTCTTGTCTAATCTATGGATTAGATCAGAAATTTAAGACTGTATTTGATGTAAAGAACCATACCAAATGGAAGTGCAACTAAAATTGCTATTCTATTTCCTCTCCCCTCTGTAAAAAAAAATGCCATCTTCTTTTTATCAACATGCTTAAACTGCTGTTGAAAACACAATTTCATAATAAATTTTGAGGTATCAGCAAGTGAACCAAGCCAAGAGACCCTTCAAAATGAACAATAAGTATGGTAGCTATTAAAAGWATTGATGTTAAACAGAACAGTATTTTAACCTTTGAAATTGCAGTGAAGATAGAACAGAGTGAGAGAGGTCTTTTTATAGCTCCAGAATTTGCTTGCTACTGCTGCAAAAAGCAGCTGTGCCTCTTTGATAAAGCCCAAATGTACTGAAGGCCCAAGACATCTCCTGAAATAGAAACACCTCTATTTGAATTATCTCAGCCAAATAGAAGATAGAAGATTCTGGAATTCCTTGCATTTGTTATGCAAAATAGCCTGAGAGAATTGTCAGTTGTTGTTCCTCTTCAAATGAGTCAGCACTCAAAAGGTCTCAGTTTAGGAGTAAGGCACAGAAGATACTCTTAGTAGGAAAAAGSGCAACAACTAAGCAGCACTCTTTGCCAAAGTCAATGACTTAATTATCTAAAGTGGGAATAATAAAAAACCCCCTTAACCCTAAGCTTGTCACAAATGTTAAAAGCAACTGAACAAGGTAAGAGTGGCTTAATGTATTTGAGGATTTTAGGGAATATGCAAAGGCACAAACATTCTAAGAACGAAGATCAGTACTGCAAATTATCCAGAGAAGCCTTCATACTATAAAAACAAATTCTTGCCTTTATGAAAATTACTACAGTGAGGAATATATGCACCATAATTCTTTGTAAGAACCGGAAGTGTTAGAGAAACAAAAGCTACTGAYACTTGCTTCACTGGCCACACAAAACATTGTGACAGTTTATTAAATCGCACTAAGTGTTATACATAAACAAAACCTACTACATACTTTTCTGCCGTTAGCTCTGCTGATGACAAAGGCTACCTCCTTTGAAAGAAGAAAATTCTGAAAAAGCAGTGTGCCAAAAGCTTCTAGCAGCTAGATGTACAGTCAACTTTGTAGAACAGTTATGTAAATCAAGGCACAAAGCTTTATTCTCTGCTCTTGGTTTGGATACTGCAGTGAAGAGGATTTACCATCTAAACAAATAAATGTGACTGTGTCCCTCATTTTCCCCTGATTTTTGCAGGGTTATAAATGATCATTTAGAAGCAAAAAGAGGTAAGAATACCTTAAAATCAATTCCTCCAACAAARACACGATTTGGAGTAACTGTTCCAAACCTTGGAGAACCGATCAGATTATTTAACCTCACCGGTGAAACAGTGCTGGGACATGAAGGTAAAGATTCTGTTTGCATCTGATCAGTGGYCTGCGGATTGAAAGAAAAGATTTTCTAAATCTTACATGTTACTTCTTAGTAAATGAAACAATTCTCAACAGACAATACACACAGAATTTTTTGGAAGGCACAGCAAACACTGAAGAACTGCACATGAACAATGTCTTTCTATTCAGATTGTAGCTCAGTGTTTAAACATAAGCTTAGTCTTAATCAATTCAGCAACTTAGTGAATACACTATGGTCTGAAGTCCGGTGTCAAACGCTATCCAAACTGGACACCAATGTTGGTTCAATTTGCACAGCACCCCCACTGTATAAATATCAGATTAATTCTATTACACAGAGTATCTTACATCTATTAGAAACCTTTATTTTAAGCCTACATAGAATGGATATTTTAAACTCAATCTGTGTTCTCACACACATCTACAGAATTCTGCTTTCTGCAACAGACTTTGGTTTATTTTCCAAGCRCTAAGCACCCATAATTCCATCACATACAATCAAGAAGTTCCATACACCTGGTAAGAAGAGGTCTTGAAGAACAGTGTTTTAATTCAACACTCTCTTGGCCAACAARCACAGCACACAATGGTCTGAACAGAGATTCCCTCTGCAGAAGAACAACCAGATTGCTTTTGCCTCAGTACAGGAACAAAGTGGAATCTTCATGGGAACTATTACTTATTGAAGCCTGCTGGATGTTTGAGCTTCCAGCATTGCTTAACCTGGGAACTGTGAAACCATTTCACGGTAAACTCTTTCAAAACAAACTAATACTGCCTTACAAAGTCAACCCTAACTGTAMGATATAGCTGTAAAGCAGCCATATAGCATTGTCATTAATTTCTCCAATASAATTATTTGGTATTTCTTTAGTTACCTGAGAATTACTCCTACTAAGTAATAAGTAGTAAGTGCTAAGTGYTACTAAGTGCTACTTATTGCTATTATTTTGGGTATTTAGAAGACAAAAATCCAGCTTAGTTCACACAATTTTAGTTTTAGAGAAGACACAAGTGCTTTCCAAGTTCACTAAAACACGCACACTTGGGGTAAAGGAAAACCCCAGGCTGTTAACCTAATCTGTTCAGGAGAATCTAGTATGCATCTCACCTAGTGGGAATATTAACCTAGAGTGCCGGCTAACCCAAACAAAACCCACCCACCTAGGAGGCAAGGAACAAACATAGTCACTACAATCCCAAAGAGGTCTGTTTTTTGCAAGGAAAAAATCCTGAAGGACAAACCAGTTGACATTCTCCATCTCAGGACAAACCAGTTKACACTCTCCATCTCTCACACCCAAGACAACACTCTAACTGTACAAACATCCAGCAATTGTGTTCAGCGTGAAAACTTCCGGTTCCAACGGTAACAATTAACAGCTGACACCACAGACAAAATGTATTCCTTACCTCAAAGATCCCAAATGGCAATTTCTCCACACAAGTTTTAGAGTTGATTTATTAAAGTAACCCACAAATACAAAAACCTCAATGGAAGAAATAAGGAATTAAACACACCACTTATGAACTCCCAGCTGTAAATATAGTAAAWCCCAGTGAGTTCTGTAACATTTTCAGACATGCATTCTGATAACCATCTCTTAATTAGCAGTGTGGCACTAAAAAAAATACGTATGTGCCAACGGCACATCACTTGCCTAAATATTGTTTCTACTGTTTGTTTAAACTTCCATTTTGTCACTTTCYGCAAGCAATACAGATACGGACATTTATCAATATTTTTTACGGATTACTTCGCGTTTGATAACTCGTTYGCAGAATCGCTATTTTCATTTTTACATTTAGCACACCCACGGTCAACCAACCAAACTCCACGAAGGCCTGGTGATTAACCGCACTTCACCCGCTAAACACCTCTATTTTGCACAGTCGGTGCGCCGCAAGGTCCGATCCAGACCCCGTCGCCCCGGYACCGCGTCCCGCACACTCGGGGCCGCCAGCGGCTTCTCCACAGCCTGAGGCCGCCACGGACAAAATGGCGGTGCCGCGCGGGCGGCCGCGAGCCGGGGCGCCCCAGCASTACGGCCCCGCTGCCCCGCTCGCCCTCCCGGGCGGCTGCAAAGCCCCGCGGGCCCGCCGGGCTCCTCACCGCGCCCTCGGGATCCATCGCTCCTCACAGCCGTCGCCTGGGCCCCGGCACGTTCCCGGCACGCGTGGCGCTCCTCAGCCCCGCCTCGCGCCCGGCTGACGCACACCGGCGGGGACGGGCCTGCAGTGGGCGGGGGAGGCACAGCCTGGCGATCGTGGCCCGAAGCGCAAGGGTGGGAGGCACGCTGTGAAATCCGCCCTGTCGCAATCCCTCTCCCCGGGGGCCCCGAGGACCCTCGCGGGTTCCCTGCGACGGGGCGGCCGGGGSTGCTTCTGCTCTCAGCCCGCCCCAAGGTTCTCCCGCGCCGCCCGGAGCGGGGAGCTCGCGGCCGCTAAAGCGCTGCCGCTTGTGCCGCTGCCCCGSCGGCTCTCGGGCCCTCCGGCTGCTCTGCGCTCCCCTCTCCGCGCAGCAACAGCACCTGCGCGGCTGTCTTGTCTCCCCGGCGTACGGGCTTTGAGTAAGGTGCCAGTACTACCTCTCGGAACCGCGCTTTGAAGCCTTGAGGCAGCCCAGAAACCTCCCTCCAACAATTTCCCTGGCACTTGCGGAAACAAGAGGTAACTGCCAGCTGGGTTTTTATCTTCCCAACTAGAGTGTGAAACAGGTAGGAAAATAGGGTAATGCGTTTCACCTGGCCTTGCGGGAGAACTACAGTTACCTGTGTTTGGCTTACCCGGTCATACTTGATGGGGCTAAAAACTGTCGAAACAGTTTAGACTTTACAGCTGTCAAGGTGAAGTAAAAGTTCTTAACTCAATGGGTCTTCCTAAGCTGTCCAAAAGACGCTGGACGGGCTGGCTTGAGAACAGCTGTGGGTCTGAGATCGCCCTAGAGATAGAATTTGGGGTCTGCTAGAGACTCACTTTCATGACCAGTCTCCAAAATCAACTCAAAATATTCTTTTTTCCTGCCCTTACTTAACTGGAGGAGAAACACCAATAGTAATGCTTGTGTCAAGTRTATTTCTGTGGTCATTTACTGAACAGCACTACTACCTGCTCTCTTGTTCCATAATTCTATCCTGTCTGCAAATGCATTTTGCCCTTACAATATCTGTGCTGTTAAACAGGTCTGGAAAAAAGTGATTCAAATGCCAAACTCATAATCAATGTAGGTACGAAGATACAGCCTGACAGAAATCCTTAATCTGATGACAACAAGAGCTGGTGTGCAGACAAGTGTGTGCACCACACGTGGGAAAACTGGTTTTCAAAGTGACCAAACTAGCACAGGCTAAGTCACTGCAGCTCAACACCAAGACTCAATGTCAGGATCACTACTACCATTAGTTACTCTCATGGTTTACCTTTTTTGGGTGCTTTAAAATAATGACTTCAAGAAAGATTGTCTTTACAATGTCTACAATAGATTTTCGTTGAATTCAAGTATTTGTATCTTGCTTAAGTTTGCTTTATGCACATTATACCCATCCCACTTAACCCAAAAAGCCCCTTTTTATTATTTAACTCTCTGACRTAGGGCACAGACCTGTAGTCCTTACAGGATCCTACACTGCTCCTTACTTTTCTGGTGTTGCTTCAACATCTATCAGCTTCTGCAGCACTATTTTTATCACACAGAATTAAAACTACAATCATAGAAGAGATTCTAATAATTCTGTGCCTGTAATATGTAACAATATAATGCTTAACTCTTAGTATTGATTTTTTTTTAGTTGAGAAAATGATAAAAGTAAAGGCAATTTTAGCTGAGCTGATGTGACTTTTTAGAAGTAGTTATTTGGTGAGATTACAGGACTCTGCTGAATTGCATTCATTGACTTTTATGAATATTTATCAGACAGCAACAAAGCTTATCCTAAGAACAGCACGACATTTTAATGATGTGAAAGGCAGAATAGCCCAAGCCTTTCATGTGCTTGTGATTTGGGGAATTTAAAGTGAGAACAGCTAAAAGAATAAACAAACATTCAGAGACATTAAAATACATTTTACATAGTTTTAATTGYCATATCTTCTACATTATACCTCCTCCTTTAATCTGGGACATTTACATTTAAAATAAGACAATTTTGACAAAAATAGGACTTTTGCAAATAAATGAGAAAGATTGAGCTATTTTTTATTGTGCTGGTTTAAAACCTGAAAATTCAACACACCTTTAAATGTAACAAGATTACAAGTAGAGCTGGTAAGAAATACTGCCATGCATACAGGATTTGAATATCACAACAAAGGCTGCTGGGGCTGCCCTGGTACTGCTTCGCTGCTTCATTAAGAGAACTGAATCCTAGCTGAGGGAGCCATTCTCAAAGGAAGCCAAGAGTGCAACTGTTTTTCCTGATTCCATATGTCAGCAATATACACAGCATGAAATAATCTCTCCTGCTGTTCTCTCCCACAAATTAAAAGGCAGTGCTGGACAAAGCCAAGAGTCTGACTGTGATGGTTCCTGTAGGCTTTTGCCTTTTGTCCTTTTTTTAGCATCAGAGAAAAGCAGAGGTTAAGTGAGGAAAGATAAACTAAAAAAAAGCAACTAAGAAAAATAGGGACAAAAAATGAATTGGGAGGAGAAAGGAGGAAAAGAATTCTCCAGGCACAGAAAGACAAGAATGATTTTATAAGTAATACATGGGCCTTACAACAGATTGCTATTTCACTGATTGATTCACTGACCTTACAAAAGACATGCTACCTTTTTTGCCTYCATTGTTTTCTATCTGGATAACAGTGCTAGTTTTCCTTGCAGCATGTTAAGATTCTTTCATGGAAATATAAGCATTAATATATCCTKATCAGAAGGTGTAYCTGATGAAAGATTACTTACTTCCCRCTCTAAATKTCATAAAAATGTCTCTTAGGCTGTTACTAAAAGACTGACTTCAATTTCTGCTGCATGGGCCACAACTGTATTAAATGAAAAATAAAAGTCTGTAATTTATGAAGATGTACACAATCGTTTCTCTTACAAGCTTGTGAATRGATTCTCTACACCTTGAGCCCAAACTCAAAACCCCAAACTCTTAGGGATTGAATGACTTAGAGGACACCTCTCGAGGGAGTTAACAGAGCTTAGAAGCTGTGATGGTGGTCACCTAAGGAGTTCCACTGAGTAAAAAAGTTATGGCCAGTGCCATGTGAAAAATGCAGAAAGAAATTATTTGTTTCTGATAAGCTATCCATTTATTCAAATGGGCGTGTTTCTCTTATATGACATTTCCATCTTACAGGCCCTTTTYCCACAACATTCCCTTTCTTGGTTTGGGCACATCTCCCTTCTCTATGAGCTGTGACTTCTCACTCTATCCCAATTTCCACCATTCTCTCTAACCTTTRTCTCTACCTCCTAATTAGTTTCTGATTGCCCTAACAACACTCTTGCTCACCTCCTCTTGTATCTGTCTTTCTTATTAGAAGAAAAATATTAGATACATAGGAAAAACAAGAACTCAAAGCATTGATTTTTCAAATGGTTGCTACTCTTTTCCTACTTAACATTGAATTTGAAGAGGATTTTCCATATTAACATTTCAGTTATAATCCAGCTTTATGAGATCACTTATCTTGCCTGTGTGAGYRATTACAGGATTTTTATGCTTTGTTTCTTTTTAATTTTGCTCAGTTTGCAATTAATTATTTTTTTTCTCCTGCATTTTGTAGAATACAATCTCAGAGCATCTKTGAGCTCTGAAATGTTTTTTACCATTTGCTTTCCATTCAGATCAAGGCATTTAAGTGTTTGAAAATTAGATAATTTAAATTCCATTTGTTTTATTTGCCGTGGCTCATAAGAAATAATCCACTGTAAAKATTGGTCCACACTGTAGACCTTGGGATTCACCAAACAAGAGATACCATTCTTCCTTAGCTTTTTCCTATTGTCCCCCAAATCACAAGCCTTTRAGAAGTGATGTGTTCAAGTATGGCTCACTGAGGCTCATTGTGTGTAGTGTCTGCTCACAGAACCATTTCTTGGCATCTTTGGATATCACACTTGCAGGGTACATATGGGAAAAGCCCTGCAGTCKTTGGACAGCAGCATAGCCTGAGGGGTTAATATACCTGAATCTCCCAAATCTTGCTACCAAGTCTGACGTACATCTAAGATTAGATGAAAAGGGTTACTGGTTGGAATTACAGAATTCTTCCAAATCACAGAGCAAACAGGTGACTTTCTAAGTTTACCCAACACATTTTGTTGTTTATCTGTAAAACATCCACTTGGGAGAAAAATGCTCCTGGCCTTGTATTTGCAGAATGCTTCAGTTTTGCAAATTCTGCTGTAAGACACAGTGGGAGTTAGGATAGGGTATAGATTCGAACTACCAGCTTATTTAACCCCACTCAGAAAAGACCAATAGTGGTTAACAATTCTTTCAATTTATGCATGTTAGTACKCCCACAGTAGCACATTTCAGAAAAATAAGCTTACTTACATTAGTCATTAGGCTTTTTTTCCATGTCCTTAGATAATCTTCTAACCTGACATTAAGGAACATAAGATTTTGCAATAGAAGATTAAATATACTTCATCTCTGATGGAAAATATTTTTAATCTTCTTAARGTCCTGTTCAATTAATACCAAAGGAATTTAAGTTATTTCGAGACTTACATTGTGATCATAATCATATTGCTTTTTTGCTTTATTTTTCCTTTGAGTTGACTTTTTCTAATGAATTAAGAGGGCCAAATTTACACACATGAAAAAAAAAAAAAACAGACATAAATATTTGCAGCGAGTTTGCAAATTCATGTAACCTTGTGTTTGGAAGTGGTATCAAGGACTAGGCCAGCCTGCCTAAAACTTTAGTTCCAGTACAAAAAGGAAGACTTTACGGGGTATCAAGTCTGTTTGCATATACTACCATTTATAGGCAGTGTAGAAGCTGTCAAAAGTATCGTTGGGAAACACTGTCTTGATTTTTTTTTTTTTATAGGAAACCAGCTTTTTTTGAAATGAGGCAAGTGTGGGCACAGCTCTTTCCACTTTTTCCTTGGGAGGCCAGTCAGGCACAGGCAATCTAAAGACAGCAATGTACTTTTACTTGCTTTGGGTG